TAAATGATGTGATATTTGTTTGGTTATTCAAGTAGATAAAATAACATGACATATGCATTGCGACACTAACATCTTCATTGTTTGGTTTATAACATTTGCATTAGGAAAAACCCGGCGAAAGAGTATTGCGTTAGATGAAACAAAGGATCGGGGAAAAGATGAAACGAATAAAGGTAAGGAACGATTAGAAGATTCTGATGCAAGCGAAGGAAATGAATACGGATTGGAGAATTTGAGAACTAGAACGTCACCAAGAACATTACATCAGACAATCGTTGGTTTAAATGACGCCCAAAAGAAAGTGGTTAAACAAATGGGGCTTGGCGCTTTATTAGAGATGACAATTAATGGAGTTCCATCGAAGCTTGGGTTTTATGTTGTCGACAACCTTGACGTGAAGAAGATGGAGTTGAAGGTTGTGAATGGTGCAATACCAATCACAATTGAATCAATCCATGAATTGTTGGGTTTGAGAATGGGAGGAGTTGATATTCTAGAGATGGATGAAGTGGAGGATTCAAAGAATATGACAACTAACTGGAGGAAACAGTTTGATAAGAAAAAAATGCGGCCGAAAGACATTATGAAGATAATACAAAGTTCAGGAGATGCAGGGTTCAACTTCAAACTGAATTTTCTTGTTCTCTTCGTGAATCTGATGGTTGAATGTAATAGGATRGGATGCTGCAATTTTGGGTTCCTATCTAGAATAGAAAGTGAGGATGTAATACCAGAAATAGATTGGTGTAAGTACATATATGGGAAGATAAAAACAAGCAAGCAAAGATGGAGGAGGGATAGTAAAATGTGCTTCTATGCTGGCCCGTTGACATACCTCGCTGTAAGTTTTCCTAGGTATATAAAACTACAAAAAAAAACTTTACATAACAAAACTAATATTTCATTTGCAGTTGTTATATGTGGAAGCGACGATAAGTCCAAAAGTTGTGGTGGAGCACAAGGGCCATGCAATCTCAGCATGGACCCTTGATTTGTTAAAGAAAAGACAATCAACAGAGATTAAAGACGGAGGGTTCGGGCTTTTACCTCTACGACCAATAGCTAAATCAAGTGAAGATGTTCATCACCGTTACGCTTCAAATCAAGAGAATATCGGTGAACAATCAACACCGACACATCTGAGCAAAGAGGTTTGATTTATGTATTGTATTTTCATGAAACTGCTTATTTCGTTTAACACAGCGTATCTTGTTTCATTTAACACACAGTGATTGAATGAATCATGTTTCAATTAACACACCGTGATGAATTTGGGTTATATGTTTACCAATGAAATTAGGTTCATATGTAGGCTGATGAATTTGTTTTCATAAGTATGTTATATGCTGTATTATGCACAGTTTCAACATGAATTCGGTTTCATCAGTATGTCCCTTGCTGTTTAATGAACCTAAATGCACAGCATGTTACATTTTGTTTTATATGCACAGTAACAGCAAGTAACATGCTGTTAATGAACCTAAATGCT